GTGGAGGTAAAAGTGATAGTGGTGAGAAATCTGGTATCGGTGGTGGAGGCGTTGCAGGCATAGTTATATCAGTTTCAGTGGTTGGAGCAGTTGCAGTAATCTGTATTATCAAGAAAAGACGCAGGAAGTCGTCAACAGACATAGAAAAACTTGACGTTCAGCCATTTGTTCCCGAGTCACATGAAGTACAAGGTATATAATTTTATGACTTCTTTTTTGGGTCAATTGAGAAACATAGCTGGTTAGTTTTGCTGATACTTACTTCAATATCTCAACATATATACACTCTTATGGTGGATACGATCCTTTCTTGCCATGTTATCTAATTTGAATATAGAGCTGAATTTATTGTGGTACACAAAGGGGAGCTCTGGCATAACTGGTAAAGTTATTTCCATGTGACCAGGCTTGAGCTGTGGAAAAAACCTCTTGCAGAAATGCAGGATAAGGTTGTGTACAATAGACCATTGTGGTCCGATGCTTCCTCGTACCCCGCGCATAGCGGAAACTGCACCAGGCTGTCATATTGCAAATGTAGTTGCCTTTATATATATGAATACTCTTAACTCTGGATGCAAGTTCCAGCAAAGGTACTGAATCACCTCAGGTGAATTTTGGAAATTTAGTTTTCCTTTTGAACTCGTCGTCCTTCATTTCATGTTCAAGTGAGCATGTCCATAATGATGAATTATCTTTCCCTTTTGCGGCTTCATTTGTAACTTGGTATTTCATACATCTTAAGCCTTACCTCAATTGTTTTAAGTTCTGTATTGTCATTCCATCAGAGTTCCAGCTTACATTTGCCCTTCTCTAATTACTAGTATTATTGTTTTTTAATCTTGTGTTAGTTTTGGAACCTGTATTTTTCTATTCATCACCTATTTTGGCTGCAGATACGAAACTCAGTCAAGCTCCATCTACAGCAAGCATGGAAGCTATTGAAACTCCCACTGTAGTGTCTCTAAGACCTCCACCTATTAATACTCATAAATCCATTGGTGGAGATGACATTTCAGAAAAACTCATTGTTCCACAGAAGAAAAATCGTACAACTGAAAGAAAAGTTGTGCGATTTTCAATTGAAGACGTACAGATAGCTACTGACAGCTTCAGTGTAGAAAACCTTATTGGTGACGGATCTATTGGAAGTGTATATCGAGCTCACTTTGACAATGGCAAAGTAATATCTATTAGTTCTGTTTGTCGTTTTAACTGTTTCTTGTTGCAGCTAACATTACCTATGCTGATGTAAGTGATTCTGATCGTTTAAGTTCCTATTCCATAGGTTCTCGCTGTCAAGAAACTTTATTCATCTGAGCTCCGGAATCCTGAAGATTTTCTAAAGATGATTCCTGAAATATCCCAGCTGGATCATCCAAATGTAACAGAACTAATTGGTTATTGCTCAGAAGATGAGCAGCACCTGCTAGTTTATGAATTCCACAGAAATGGTTCTCTGCATGATTTCCTGCATCGAATGGATGAAGACAACCCGCGACTAACATGGGATAGCAGAGTTCAGATTGCACTTGGCACAGCAAGAGCACTAGAGTGAGTTTCATAATTTACAAAATTACTTTCATTAGGCATCACATAAGATTAATGCAGCTTGGAGAAAACTTTTGTTTGCTTGGTTTCAGATATTTTTTTATGGTAAACTACCCTATCTATCATAAATCTTCAAGTTTTCCTTAAAACATTGATGACTAGTAACTAGTAAGCATGTAAAAGTGTTTCAATAATATTTCGAATAGAAAAGCAATTATATTATTTTAAGTTGTAGAACACCGCGTATGTTGGCTTTCCACTAGATCTAATCAGAATAAATTTTCTATTATGGCCGCGACCTCTCCAATTCTTATGAGTAGGTTGATTCTAGTAGCTAAATCTAAGCTTCCTTTAATTTGCAGGTATCTACATGAAGCTTGTTCTCCATCTTTAGTTCATAAAAATATAAAATCTGAAAATATTTTACTTGATGCTGATCTCAATCCTCATCTATCAGACAGTGGGTTAGCAAACCTTATGGCTGATGCAGATCAGGTAACACTTTATAAATTTGTTTTTTGCCTTACTCTAGATTATAATTTCCTAAAACTCCACATCAGTATCTTCTAAATGGCTTCAACTTGGACCCTTTATTTTTTCTCCCTACAGGGATTGAACCATAATATAGAGTCTGGATATGGCGCACCGGAGGCTGCTATATCTGGGAAGTGTACTACCAAGAGTGATGTATACAGCTTTGGAGTTGTTATGTTGGAACTTTGTACTGGTCGAAAACCTTTCGATAGGTAAATGTTAATTTAATGATTTTGAACCCAAAATCTGTTTAAGACAAATAATAATATACGTGTGTTCTTCTCTTCTCCACTCAGCTCAAGACCAAGATCTGAACAGTCTTTAGTTAGATGGGCAACCCCTCAACTTCATGATATTGATGCCCTGGAAAAGATGGTTGATCCAGCTCTCTCTGGATTATATTCTGTCAAATCTCTTTCCCGGTTTGCTGATGTTATTGCTCTCTGTGTTCAGGTAATACTCTCGTTGTTTCAATTCATGTGATTAGACACAAAGTTTAAGATAGAAATGCAGACATTTGAAACATGTGATCTTAAACATGACATAACATCTCATTAGAGTAAAATGAGAAGCAGTTCGTTCATTTTGTACTGAAAGCTGCTACATGCCATGTGTTCAGTTTTCAATAGAGTACTCCCTTAAATCGCGCTCACTATCACAATGGTTTGTGTATGTTGTGTCAGCTTGAGCCTGAGTTCCGGCCACCTATGTCTGAAGTGGTTCAAGCATTAGTCCGGCTAGTGCAACGAGAAAATATGAGCAAGAGGTTACACAATAATGATCAGGACTGAAGAGATATGCTCAAGACCTGCTAATTGTTACACCAAATGGTTCTCTTAAACTGCTTGCTGCTATGGGAGATCATCTGATGCTGATCAGCCCAGCAATATCTTCTTCGGTGCAGTTGTATTTGATTAAATACCATATGCTAAGATATCGTTCACAATATATATATATATATACCTAATCTGCTTCTCACTGATCACCCTACATACATACATAAATTATCTATACTTACACAGAACCTTATTAACACATACATGAATGGTTACCAGCATTTGTACTCTGTTCCAAGATACTGTTAGCAACGACAGGTTAAATTGACATCTGACAGATAAACCTAGAATTACCTTGAAAAACAGGCTCTTAACTGCATGTTATTTATTCTACTTCGAAAACTACCAGTTTCGCATCTACCTTCCAGTAAAGGTTCATTCATACTAAGCAATTACGACACCACTAAGAAAGCATGTGAAACTTTAAGCGTCTAATTGAGTGAACACCTGGGAAAATAGTGTTGCTTGCAATATTGATGAAGGCAAACACAAGATAAAAAGAATTAAGGCAGATTAGGACACAGCTATCGCTTGCTGTTAGCACGACAATAACAGTCCTACTTTGCCAATCAGATACCTACCTTGACAAACACAAGCGCTGACAGCAGAAGCCGACAACACAGGAATGAAATTGAATTAAAATAAGTAAAGAGGGAAAGTTAGGTATCATTACAGCTCTTAGATTTTAACTCAAAACACCAAGTCATCAGGCATTACAACGCAGAAGTTGGTCCTGTATCTTTGTTGGCAACAAACAGGAGCACACCAAAGATGAATAAACAGGTAATAAAATCTTAGTGGACAGCATAAATCATCAAATTGAGTACACGGGACAACTAAATGGCAAATAGCAATGTCACTTCATTCCTGCCAATGCTTGATTGTTTGTACCAAAGAAAATGTAGTCCCAACTAATTGTAGACCATATACTTCGGTGTTGCACTGAATTTCTGATATCCCTTAATGACCTTGTTGACGGCATCCAAAAGTCTTTCTCTGCAAACATTTTTCCTCCTTGCTCGAATAGCATACATTCCAGCGTCCGTGCACACGCTTCTTATATCAGCTCCTGGAATAAACCAAATCAATGAAAAGGTCAGAAGTGGTCCCCTACCTGTCGTATTTGTACATCTCATTACTACAATATTTTGAAAATTTAAGTGATGCATATAGGTGAAATTATATTTGTCCAAAAATATATACAAGTGAACTTATCGCTTCTCTTTACATGAAAGTAAACCTTCTCTAGACCTCCATAAATGCCATAAAGTCGGAAAAGCAGCTAACTTATTGCCAATTTCACTTTTTAAATGCATCAAACTCAATTAAAATATCAACCTCTTCCAAAATTCTCCTCTAGGTCCAGCAACCTTAACCTTGGCTTTTAACTGGTCAATGGACAAGCTCAAGGAGATCTCATTCTATAAATACTCGCCTTAAAATTCCTATTGATATAAGTTGCGGAAAAAAAAATCCTATTAATATAAACCCATCCAACATTATGGGTACCAAACCAAGTTATCTAAGTCCTCCGACCACAGTATGTATGTACAACACGTCAACACCAACAAGGCAACAACAACATACCCAGTGTAGTCTTACAAAGTGAGGTTTGGGGAGGGTAGAGTGTAAACAAACCTTACCCCTACCTCAGAGGTAGGGGTACTATTTGGGATAGACCCTTGGCTCAAGGGCACCACATTATGTATGTAAACCCCAATATTCATTTCAACAGAACAGTTCAAGATTACATTAATGGACTGCCCAAGAACACTTGGAAGGTTTTTTTTGTGGAAACTTTTTACATATTCAAGTTCTATCAAGAAACAAGAAAAGCCCATGACATGAAAGTTGAAACAAAGGTAAGTTGATCCGGAATGTAACAAGAAAATTTGGAATGTGAGTAATAATGTGTCTTTGCTGTTGTACTTTTGCACAAAATATAGATTTTGATTCTCCAGTTTTAACAGTAAACCTGGCTTCCCAGGCACCCTCCTTCCAGATACCCATACATTCACCAATAGAGGTGTTACTAGAAGATAGAACAGAACAAAATACTATGTTGGAAAGACATGATGCATACCTTTGCAATTTGCTTGACGTTTATCACGTGTTTTGCATCTTCAGTGTTGGGGCTAATTATCTTTGTACACCTGGCAACCTGCTCCAAAAGAATTCAATTAATACTTCAATGTACCTGAGTAATAAAAGAGCAACAGATCTGAATTTCAATGAAACACACCTGAAGAGGTTGCTCCGCCTGCATCATCTGTTTATCAGAAACCAGATCCCATTGACTTGGTGCAGCTAACCCAGTGTCAGACTCCTTAATACCTATGGTAAATTATTTAAGATGTAGTTCACAAGAATGTGCAACAAAGAAAAACAAGGTTTGAAAAGAACAAAAAGAAGTCCCTTTACATAATTAAATACAAAATCAACAAGAGACATAACAAACATACCGCATAAATTATTTATCTTTTTGGCCATTTCCTTGATTTCCTTTTCGGCTTTCTTTATGCTGGTCGAATAAGGTCCCAGACCCTGCAAAAATCATTATATTTTGTTGATAGGTAGTGAGAATAATTTATAAATCATGAACTTTCACTGAGCCAGCACTACAAAATATAATTACAAGTTCGGCAATTCCCAAATATCTTGCATTTCATCTACATCATGTACTTCATGTAGAAGGATCATTGTACCAAAAGGCTAGCAAGGAGGAGGGATGTGTGACTTAGGCCTAGAGTAACACATGTGCACCTCACTGACTCAATCTTACAAATGAATAATTTCTCAAAAAACAAAAAAGATAAATATGCATATTTCTTCTATTTTTTTTTTCCCTCGTAGCTTAGTTCAAGTAGCAAAGGTGGAGGAACTTGTGACTTAGGCAAGAGGTTTGAGCCCTGTGCTGTACCAATTAAGCCTGGTATTTTCATTGGAGAAGGGTACAAGGGCAGGTCATTATCACCAAGCTTCCAAGGTAACAATTGGTCTTAAAGGGTTGACCCCGAACAGATTTCTCATTCATCAAAAAAATCTATTTAATTTTTATTTATAATGAGAGGCACAATTGACCAAGGTAACTTATCCGTGCTTAACAGGAGAGCCTCAATACCCTAGAGTGACCTAAACCTACCGAGCTCCCAGGCATTAGCTCAACATAACAGATTGGGAATCAACTACAACAGTGGAGGAGCTTATGTAGGAGAATAAGAGCTCCCACTAGAAGTACAAAACCAGAAAACAACATATAAGGAACAACAAGATCACATGGACCACACATGCCCCGCTGCAGTTCACCAAATTTGACAAGAATGGTTCAGATACAAGTGTAACTCATACTTGCAGATATATAATCTCTCTGATATGTTTCTGCCTCTAAAAACAAGGCATGTAGTTAGGTGGAGAAAATATGTATTGGTTTTTTCATTCCTAAAAGTGAATTGAGAGCTTGAATTTATCTTTTTTAAAATCAATTCTTAGCCGCAAAATACATATTAGAAAGCACAAAAACAAAAGCAAAAAGAGCAATGCAACATAAGTAATATTTTTTTTTTTGATAACCGAGAAAACCATCTGTGACCCGCCCTTTGGACCAATCACAGCCTTCTAAACTCGGTGGATAATGGGCCCGCCCCTCTACCCTTCTCCACTTAAATACCGGGCTTCGCTTTGCATGGTGTAGGGCTTGAACCTGCGACCTAAGCCACAAGTCCTCCACCTTTTGCCACTTGAGCTAGGCCTTGGGGGCCAACATAAGTAATATTACAGATCCTCTCAGACCATAAAAAGTTATATTTTATGCTATGAGCAACTCTGGTCACAAGTCTCATAAGTGATTCAACAGTTCCATGGCTGCATATTCAGTCAATCACACCTGACGACTCAAAGGCTTGTTAGAAAGGCGGCAAGCGACGAACAAGACCCCTATGTTGACACTACAAAGATAACTTTTAGAGGCCGTTACTAGATAGACCAGAGCTACAGCCCAGGGGGGAAATTATTTCCCACTAAGGAACGCACCTAGACTTCTCCCATTGAATCCATCCTTAGTTCTGATAATTGAATTATCCATAGTTTATGCTCCATAAACCAATTCACTTGAGTGAGACATAAGAGAGTGGAATTCCCTGATAAGCTGTATTTAAGTAGGTTCAAGCTAAGCTCAAGTTTCTAAAGACGAGAAGGGGGACATGTTCTATGTCTTCAAAGAAAAATGGCGCTATGGGGAGGGGATTACAAGGCGGGTAGTGGAACCCTCACCAACAAGGTGAAGGTAGTCAAATAGTCAACCAACTGAGCTACTATTCCCCTGAACATTGATAACCTAAAAAAGCTTTAGAGCATAATGAAAATGAGAGATACTTCTATCTGCACGCATCCACACCTACAAAAACATCCACCTAAATCCTAATAACGCAAATCACTACCTTCAATGACTCAAACATTCTTCAAATTCGAACCCACGTAGTAACAAAACGAAAGATAATATCAAAAATTACATTTCTGCAACATTCTGTACCATCTCAGTTATCCAACAGTGCGCAATGAAAAATTAACAGTTCAAAATGAATTCAAAAGCAACAGATAGAGCCAATAGGTAAGAACTAGGGTTAAAGATTAGGGGAAGAAATAGTACATAAGTTTTGAGTAGAGCAATATCATCTTCGATATCGGCGGCTGCGGATGCCATAGATTTCAGATGCGTTCGTTCTTCCCACAAATAGCAAAGAGCAAAAAGATCTATATTTTTCTTGAGAAAGAAGCAGCAAGGGAAAGTATAAGAAGAATGAGATCTCTTTCGCTTTTATAAAACCCGGTACATGTGGTTGTTCGGGCGGATATATCTAAATCGGCCCGGTCACCTTCTTTTTGGGCCCAATGGAATATAGTAAAAGATTAAAAAGAAGGTAAAAGAGCACAAATAGCCATATTTAGGGTTCCTATTTTGCAAAAAATTTAAAATTTAGCCACCTAAAAGTTAACTTCAGACATGGGATTTGAAGTTGAAATCACAGGTGTGAAGTTTCTAACTTAGACCCAACGGTTTGAAGTTAGTTTTGATTTTGAATTCGTTGAGTTATTAGATGACTGAAATACAAGAGCATCGAAATTGGTTGAAGTTCAACTTGTAGTGCATCCCTTACTTGTGATTATAATTATTTTACTAATCCTCCCCCTTTCAAGTTTTTGATTTGAAAATTTGGGAACAACACTGGACTAGTTTTGAACCATATGCATTAACTTATTCTTCTGTTCGAAACTGTGTACTTCTTCTGCTTCCTTTCTGCGGCTAACAAAACAAGATATCTTATGAGACAGTTTAAAAGATGCTCAAGCATGCACATCTGAAGTCTGAACTTGAAAACTATCAATTACATCCAACATTCAGAGTCAAGAGCCTAAACGCTCTAATACAGATTTGGTTAATATGAAGCCACAATTTTGAAACTAAGCTTCTTCACAACCACTAAAACAAAATGAAGAGTTATAGCTTTCAAGTTCACTGCACTAAGCTATAATTCTACGAAGATATTATTGCAGGAAATGTCGTAACTGAATCAAAGAAACCTACAGGTAACATGTATGTTAGTGACGGTGGATGCAGATTCCTAATACCTGTGGATACCACCAAGTGCAAGACTGCAGTTAATATGGGATTACACAGGCCAAAAGCAGCACAAACAAACCAATGACTCCAACCATTAGCTACAACATGATCCATCAATACATGCTTTGCAAACAAGGAAGCAAGTATAGAAGGATAAGTGTCACAGAATAGAACAACTCAATAAGCAGAACGTGAGAGAGAGAGAGAGAAAGGTATTGGTACAAAGAGACAAGTAAACTACCCTATCATAAATCTTCTAGTTTTCCTTAAAACATTGATGACTAGTAAGCATGTAAAAATGTTTCAATAATATTTCGAATAGAAAAGCAATTATATTATTTTAAGTTGTAGAACACCGCGTATGCTGGCTTTCCACTAGATCTAATCACAATAAATTTTCTATTTTGGGTAGCTAAATCTAAGCATCCTTTAATTTGCAGGTATCTACATGAAGCTTGTTCTCCATCTTTAGTTCACAAAAATATAAAATCTGAAAATATTTTACTTGATGCTGATCTCAATCCTCATCTATCAGACAGCGGGTTAGCAAACCTTATGGCTGATGCAGATCAGGTAACACTTAATAAATTTGTTTTTTGCCAAGTATAATTTCCTAAAACTCCACATCAGTATCTTCTAAATGGCTTCAACTTGGACCCTTTATTTTTTCTCCCTACAGGGATTGAACCATAATATAGAGCCTGGATATGGCGCACCGGAGGCTGCTATATCTGGGAAGTGTACTCCATGAGTGATGTATACAGCTTTGGAGTTGTTATGTTGGAACTTTGTACTGGTCAAAACCTTTCGATAGGTAAATGTTAATTTAATGATTTTGAACCCAAAATCTGTTTAAGACAAATAATAATATACGTGTGTTCTTCTCTCCTCCACTCAGCTCAAGACCAAGATCTGAACAGTCTTTAGTTAGATGGGCAACCCCACAGCTCCATGATATTGATGCCCTGGAAAAGATGGTTGATCCAGCTCTATCTGGACTATATTCTGTCAAATCTCTTTCCCGGTTTGCTGATGTTATTGCCCTTTGTGTTCAGGTAATACTCCCGCTGTTTCAATTCATGTGATTTGACACAGTTTAAAAAAAAAAATGAAAACATTTGAAACATGTGGTCTTAAACATGACATAACATCTCATTAGAGTAAAATGAGAAGTAGTTTGTTCCTTTTGTACTGAAAGCTGCTACATGCCATGTGTTCAATTTACAATAAAGTACTCCACTAAATCGCGCTCACTATCACAATGGTTGGTGTATTTTGTGTCAACTTGAGCCTGAGTTCCGGCCACCTATGTCTGAAGTGGTTCAAGCATTAGTCCGGCTAGTGCAACGAGCAAATATGAGCAAGAGAATAATGATCAGGACTGAAGAGATATGTTCAAGACCTGCTGATTATTACAACAAATGGTTCTCTTAAACTGTTTGCTACTATAGGAGATCATCTGATCCTGATCAGCCCAGCAATATCTTCTTCGGTGCAGTCGTATTTGATTAAATACCCTATGCTAAAATATCGTTCACAATATATATACCTGATCTGCTTCTCACTGATCACCCTACAATACATACATAAATTATTTTTCACTTAACACAGATCCTTATAACACATACATGAATGGTTACCAGCATTTGTACTCTGTTCCAAGATATTGGTAGCAACGACAGGTTAAATTGACATCTGCCAGATAAACATAGAATAACTCTTGAAAAAGAGGCTCTTAACTGCATGTTATTTATACTACTTCGAAAACTACCAGTTTTGCATCTACCTTCCAGCAGAGGTTCATTCATACTAAGCAATTACGACACCACAAAGAATGCATATGAAACTTTAAGCGTCTAATTGAGTGAACACCTGGGAAAATAGTGTTGCTTGCAATATCGATGAAGGCAAACACAAGATAAAAAGAATTAAGGCAGATTAGGACACAGCTATCGCTTGCTGTTAGTACGACAATAACAGTACTACTTTGCCAATCAGATACCTACCTTGACAAACACAAGCGCTGACAGCAGAAGCCGACATCACAGGAATGAAATTGAATTAAAGTAAGTAAAGAGGGAAAGCTAGCTATCATTACAGCTCTTAGATTTTAACTCAAAACACCACGTCATCAGGCATTACAACGCAGAAGTTGGTCCTGCATCTTTGTTGGCAACAAACAGAAGCACCAAAGATGAATAAACAGGTAATAAAATCTTAGTGGACAGTAAGAATTATCAAATTGAGTACACAGGATAACTAAATGGCAAATAGCAATGTCACTCCATTCCTGCCAACACTTGATTGTTTGGACCAAATAGAAAGTAGTCCAATTAATTGTAGACCATGTACTTTGGTGTTGCACTGAATTTCTGATATCCTTTAATGACCTTGTTGACGGCATCTAAAAAGTCTTTCTCCGTAACAGTTTTCCTCCTTGCTCGAATAGCATACATTCCAGCCTCCGTGCACACACTTCTTATATCAGCTCCTGGAATAAACCAAATCAATTAAAAGGTCAAAAGTGAGAGCCCCTGTCGTATTTTGAAAATTTAAGTGATGCATCTAAGTGAAATTATATTTGTCCAAAAATAAATACAAGTGAACTTATCACTTCTCTTTACATGAAAGTAAACCTTCTCTAGACCTCCATATTTGCCATCACTTCATCATATTGTTTTAAATGCCATAAAGTCGGAAAAGTAGCTAACTTACTGCCAAATTCACTCTTTAAATGCATCAAACGCAATTAAAATATCAACCTCTTTCAAAATTCTCCTCTGGGTCCAGCAACCTTAACTTTGGCTTTTAACTGGTCAATGGACAAGCTCAAGGAGATCTAATTCTGTAAATACTCACCCTAAAATTCCTATTAATATAAAGTTGTGAAAAAAAAAATCCTATTGATATAAACCCATCCAACATTGTGGGTAACAAACCAAGCTATCTAAGTCCTCCGACCACAGTATTTATGTACAACACCAACAAGGCAACAACAGAATACCCAGTGTAGTCTTACAAAGTGGGGTTTGGGGAGGGTACACCACATTATGTATGTAAATCCCAATATTCATTTCAACAGAACAGGTCAAGATTACATTAATGGACTGCCAAAGAACACTTGGAGGGTTTTTTTTGTGGAAAATTTTTACATGTTCAAGTTTTATCAAGAAACAAGAAAAGCCCGCTACATGAAACAAAAGTAAGTTGATTCAGAATGTAACAAGAAAAATTGGAATGCGAGTAATAATGGGTGCCTTTGCTGTTGTACTTTTGCACAAAATACAAGCTCAGGTACCTAAGCAACACTTGATTGAAACTACCAAAGGACTATACTCCATTACTCCTTCCTCTCATTTTTCCTCAGCACGACAATTAAGATGAAAGGTTTCATTTGTACATTGTGCTGTGTTCAATGAGGAAACTAGTAAATAGAATCGAAAAGTTGCCAAATTATGTTTGGTAAATAAAACATCAGGGTGTGAATTTAAATTCTTGGAAGTTGTGAAAGCATGTAGAATTGAATAATTTCTGAAATACATACAAAAGTTTGAGATATTAGAAAATAAAATTGAGTTCAGATGTGGTAGAACTTCCCCTTCTAGAAAATTATTATACGTTTTGGGCAGACTTAAAAGAGAGGGCATTATAATTAGGAGAAAGAGCTCTTTAAAAGAACATTGTGCACAAAATCAAATACGAAATTGATGTTTAATATGCAACTTCGGAAGCAATATACATGAATCATTCTATTATATGTCAATGTATATGAGATTACCTGTAGAGTTTGGACAGAGACGTGCCAAAAGTTCAAATCGAATATCGCGCTCACAATTCATTGTCCGTGTATGAATCTTAAATATCTGGGTCCTACTCTCTAGATCAGGTAGACCAAACTCAACTTTGCGATCCAAACGTCCAGGACGTAGCAATGCTGGATCAAGTGTATCAGGCCTGCAAACAAAATAAAATGCATTACAGTAGTTAGCCACCAAATACAATAGCCATGGATAACACCCAGTTTGAAGAACTCAGTTATCATGCTGCAAATAAATCACCC